TGCCTCCCTGCTTTTTTGCCTGCCTGGCCTGCCCACCTGCCGGCCGGCTTACCTGCATGCCTGTTAACCTCCCGGCCAACCAGTGGGGGTCTGTTTGCCCGTTTGTGTGTCCGTCTCCCCCCCCAAACCCGGGGGGGCCCGGTGGGGGTTTTTAAAAAGGGTTTTTTTACGGCCACAGGGGTGTGGAAAGGAGTCCTTTTTCCGGGCCGGGGACGAGCTTTTGGACCTCGACCCCCCCTTGGAGGCTAAGGCCGCCCCCTTTGTTTACCGGCAGCCCCTGCAGGCAGAAACCCCCCGGAGGGCCGGGGCCCGAACCGGGGCCCTTTCTTTAACCCCCCCCCCCCCCTTTTCCCCCCCCCCCCCCCCACCCCCCTCCCCCCCTCCATAATGAGTTAGGCCGAGATCGCCGCGATGACCGAGCCCGAGAAGCGGCGGTACAAGCTGCCCAACGGGCTCTCCGCGATGCACCAAAAGTCGCTCCGCAGACTGTACGGCACGCAGGGCGCGCAGGTGCCGTCGAGCCGCACCGGCTCACGCGCGGCTCGCGGCCGCCTTGCTCCTTGACGGCGGGCTCGCGACTTTTCGTTTCTTAGGTCATCGAGCTGCTGCTCAAGTGTCCGGCGGCCGCCATCACGCAGGCCGCCCGTTCGAGATCAATCGAGATCGACCGAGATCGACCGAGATCGCCCGAGATCGCCCGAGATCACCCGAGATCGAGTGTCCACGCAGGTGATCAAGCGGCTGCAGCAGAAGGACGAGGAGTGGAGAGCGCAGCGCGCGACGCTGAACAAGGGGTGGAAGGAGGTGTACGAGAAGAACTACACAAAGTCGCTCGACCACCGCTCCTTCTACTTCAAGCAGGGTGACAAGAAGAACTTTTCGGGCAAGCAGATGGTGCTCGAGGTCAAGGCGCTGGCCGAGGGCGACAAGGAGGCGCCGCCACACGAGCCGCCAGCCCCCGCCGGCCCACAGCCCTCGCCTCCCCACCCCCTCCGCTTTGCTCTCCAGGTGGAGGGCGAGAAGGAGGCCGCCGCCGCCTCAAACTCGGACGGCGCGGCCGCCAGCTCTGCCGACGGGCGGCTGCTGCTGCCCTTCAAGGTCAAGGCGCCGCTCTCGCTGCTGCACGACGACACGCTCGAGCTGATGACCTTCGCCGCCAAGCTCTCCTTCTCGCTGCTGCCCGACGCGGAGCTCGACGCGAAGATCAAGGGCTTCTGGGACGCGCTCGTCCGCCCCTTCTTCTGCTGCTCGGACCTCGAGCCCGGCGGCGGCGGGGCGTGCGGCGGCGCCGCGCCGATGGAGACGGACGGCGGCGCGGCGCCGAAGTGCAAGCCGCTCGTGATCGTCGCGGCGGAGACGGTGGACCGCAACCGCCACAAACCAACAAGCTCCTCTCTCCTATCCCCCCCCCCCCCCTCCCTCTCAGCCCCCTCACACCGCTCCCCCTCCTCCCCTCTTCCCTCCCTTCCCCCCCTCACTCCCCCTCACTGCCCCACGTTTGTCGCCTCCTCAGGGCGAGGACGCTGCGTCTCGCGAGGCGCGCCCGCCCGAGACCCGCCACTCGATGCCGCTCTCGTACCCGAAGACGTCGTCGCAACTGCTGCTCGGCAACTCCCACCTCTACGTCTTCGTCCGCCTGTACCACATCGTCATCGAGCGGCTCGCCGCCGCGCGCGAGATGGCCGCAAAGGCGTCCGAGGCGAAGGGGGACGAGCCGATGGGCGACGTCGGGGGCGCGGGCGGCGAGAACGGCGCCGCGGAGGCGGTGCTCTCCGCCGCATCGGCCGAGCAGGCCGCGCGCGCGAAGATGATCGCCGCCCTCAAGGAGGAGGCGGGCGGGGACTTGTACCGCGTCTTCCTGCTCGCGCTGCGCCAGCTGGTCGAGGCGAAGCTGGAGGCGTCGACGTACGAAGACATTCTGCGCACGCTGCTCGGCTCGAACGCGTACATCCTCTTCACGCTCCACAAGATCCTCTCGCAGGTGACCGAGGGGCAGCCGCAGATGCTGCTGGTGTGTGCCCACGACTGAGTCGAGAGTGTCTCTCCCTCAGGCCCTCAAGCAGCTGCAGATGCTGCTGGTGGAGGAGACGTCTACGCGGCTGCTGCAGCTCTACGCGTACGAGCGCGAGCGCGTCCGGTGCGGGCTCGACGCGAGGGGGGGGGGGGGCGCACCGCAGGAGTGGGTGGTGTGAGCACGCGCTGATGACTCCTGCCTCAGGTGCGGCTCGATGTGCGAGGGCACTTACCGCAACAACTGCCGCGCGCTCCTCGAGGGGGACGACGCCTTCAGCATGGAGCAGATGTACGCGGCCGACGGCGGCGAGCTGGCGCTCTCCTTCTTGCGCGAGCGCGACGCCGAGGACGAGGGCGAGGAGGAGGACGGGACGGCGGCGGCGGAGGACCAGGAGGACCAGGAGGACCAGGCTGCCAAAACGGAGGGGGTTTGCGCTGCCTTGACCAGCCCTCCCCTGCCCTGCCCTGGTCTGGCCTCC